AGATCACCCCAATTCCTGTACCTTCACACGTCAGATCAGCCCCAATTCCTGCACCTTCACACCTCAGATCACCCCCATTTTCTGCACCTTCACACCTCAGATCACCCCCATGTCCTGCTCCTTCCCACGTCAGATCAGCCCCAATTCCTGCACCATCACACCTCAGATCAGCCCCAATTCCTGCACCTTCACACCTCAGATCAGATCCAATTCCTGCACCTTCACACCTCAGATCAGATCCAATTCCTGCACCTTCACACCTCAGATCAAATCCAATTCCTGCACCTTCACACCTCAGATCAGATCCAATTCCTGCACCTTCACCCCCTCAGATCAGATCCAATTCCTACACCTTCACAACTCAGATCAACACCAATTCCTACACCTTCACACCTCAATTCAGCCCCAATTCCTGCACCTTCACACCTCAGATCAGCCCCAATTCCTACATCACCAGACCTCAATTCAGCTCCAATTCCTGCACCTCCACACCTCAGATCAGACCCTGTCCCTGCATCTTTAAACTTCAGTTCAGCACCAATTCCTGCACCTTCACACCTCAGAATACACCCAGTTCCTGTACCATCAGAATTGCAGGGGTTTTAGATTCATACCTTCTGCAGCTGATGTTTCCACTAGGGGAAATAAGTGGGTAAGCAGGCAAGCTTCTTCATGTTGTGATGTCTGCAGCTGCAATCATACAGTCAGATGACATCAGTCAGATGAAAGTCAGATGACATCAGACGGGCCTCTCTGAAACGCCGTGAAGGTGGATGAGCTGCCAATTACAGCCTATGGCACTGGTGCTGTATTTGTAGGGATTCAGGGTTTCACTTATACTTTAATATTAATAATTCATTCAACGGTTCTTTAATGGAGAGCGAGTTGTAAAACCTTCAACCATCTTCCCTCTACAAGGATAACATGTCTAATGAACGGAAGTTCCCTCTGCTCTCCGTAAACCCGTCCACAGTAATGCCGAACCTCTCCCAGTTCATATATATTGCATGACTCTAATACAAAATCACATCACACATAATTGCAATTAAATAATATTTACACCAACTGCCCTCCCCACATTACATGCAGGAAAACCCATTACGCAGAAAGCCCAGCACCAGACGTGTGCTGGAAGTATAATGTAAGACGGCAATGGAGATTAACAGAATACAAGCCGGGAGGTGATAACGGTTTAAAGACCTCAAAGGAAAACTCGGCTTTTAACTCTCATTCCCATAATCCATCTCACATAATGTCCCACTTTACTGTGAGAGTCTGGACATTAAAGGGAGCCAGTAATGATGATATTTGGGCAATCCAAATTTTCAGTCTAAGGCTGAAACCTGGCACATATAAAATAACAAAAAAATATTAATGCTGAAAAAAAAAAATATATATATGATAGATAGATAGATAGATAGATAGATAGATAGATAGATAGATAGATAGATAGATAGATGCAAGCAGTTGGTTGGATCTTGGGAGGAGCTTTGCTTCCTAAAAGGTGGATGTTATTCTGGAGGAGTGGGCAGTCCAAGGTAAAGTGTATTTACATGTAGAGTACCCCTAGGTAACGCTCACAAGTGGTGCTGAGCCTTCATGATTGAAAGGACTAAAATCCAATGAATGAAAGGGGCAGGTCCAGGGACAGTCAAACTGGTGAGGAAACTGCTAAATGATGCTGGACGCCCTCCACCCAGGAAATGAGGCGGGCTCTATCAGACTTGCTGCAGCTTCTAATGCACATTGTGAGAAGCTCAAAGTGTGCAGTGATATCAGAGGAAGCCATTTCAGTCCAGGAGAGGAGCCGGTACAACTGTGCAAGACTGAAGGGGAGGCCAGAGTTCAGCTTCATGACTCATGTGTACACAGACATCAATCCTTCTATTTAATGTTGTCAGCGTTAAGTATATTTCGGTCGATCGGGTTCATCCTTGCAGTGATTTTTTTAAACTCAGCCTGTTACAGAGAGCTTAAAATAATTCAGCGCAGCCCAGATCACCCTTCGCTGCTTAATCCGCACAGGATTCATTAAGTCAAATTAAATTCAGGACTGGAATGAAGCCTCAGGTCATTCTTTATTTAAGAAGTGCCCTGTGTACGAAACCTGAAAGAGGCCGAACCAATGAGTAATATCGTTACATGGAAATTAGAAATAATTACTGAAACATATCGCAGTGAACAGACTGAAGATAGAAAAGATGTTATCATATTAAATATAATATCACCGAGGTTTCCTGTTTGTTGGGTGGAGCTTCCTTCTTATTTTATCTGTAAAGGCCCGGCATCTCCTCTCCAGTTATAACATCAGCATTGTAATAGGAATACATACTAGGAATACAGCCC